CCCCAAAACCCCAAAACCCCAAAACCCCAATTTAAGCTAGTTTTAAACATTAAGAAATTTCAATAGAAATGGATCCTCAAGAAGACTGAAGCAGGAAGGAGACCCCGAGTAGCATAGAGAATTCCAGTGAAAATGCATGAGTAGAGGATGACCAAATAGAGCTACATGATCAAGGTAAGAAAGATTTCGCACACTTTTTGTTTTGAGTACGAATACAAATTTCATAGATGAAACCAAGGATTCCGAGAATAGTAGTCAAAGTATGACTGAAACAAAATTCAATCTAGCTAAAGGTAAGCTTAATTGATTTGATATAAGTTTAGCAAGGAAGAAGTTCCTTCCAAATGATATGACCATAGAAATAGAACTACTTTTACAGAACCCTATTGAAATACATCAGGTATCTGGAATAGGTATCGATGTGTCTTCTATAACAAAAATCACTAAGTTTTTACAAAAAGAAGGAGTTGGAGAAACTCCTAATTTCAATGACAAAATCATTCATAATCATGAAATTCGATATGCCAACGGATATCTTTATGACATAAAGAAAAGAAAGGAACCTAAATCAGTAACTCTCGAAGATCCAGGATGATACATATTCCTTCAAGATTGTCTTCGGTCTATGAAAAATGGTGAAATTTCTCTATTCAAAATTCAGTTTGTAAATGAGGAATCAAATCCCTACTTGAAAGATCCCCATTCTTGCAAATTCTTACCTTCTGAAGTAGCCCAAGCAATAAATGATAAGACCTGTGTCTTTATGAAGTTCACCGTCAAATCAATCCTTAGAGACTGCAAAGATATTTCGGCTGCCGAAATAAAAGAGTTAAGGAAAAACCTTCCCAGATTTATAGATGAAAGAATATCCTATGCTACAGACTGTAAAACTCATGCCAAGATTGCTCTAACTGAAAACTCGCTTAATGATGCCATGAAGATATATAGGAAGGGAACTGGAGCAATCAAAACAATCTCTCAGGCTATTCTTAATAAAATGAGAGAAGATGCTAAGTCAAAAGGAGAGGAAGAGGAGCAAAAGTTACAGCTTAAAATAACCCACATTAACGATATCATGGTACAGATGATGCTAAATCTAGGATATTGCTACTGGAAACATAAAGATTGGCCAAAAATGAAGCTAACAAATTCTGATATTATCCATAATTATGCTCCTAAGAGCATCAAAGCTCTTTATAGATACTCAATAGCTTGTAAAGAACTTGACAATATTAAAGAAGGGCTGGTAAATGTTTCTCATAACCAATATAGGAAGCAATGACGACTTTGGTAAAACTCGAGCCAAAGAATAAGGATGCACTTAAACTCTACAAAACTTTAAAAACAGCATCACACTATAAGAAGAGCAAATGGAATAGGAAAATGGATGGATTCTTTGTCAAGCAAGACCACTCTTACCACAGGTTAGAAGAAGAGGAACTTAAGAAGGATATTCTAAGAAGAAAGATAGAATTTGAGCTGAATAATCAGTAGAAAGAAACTTAATTTAATATCTTTCAACATTTAGGTATCTGAATGGGGTTTTGGGGTTTTGGGGTTTTGGGGTTTTGGGG